TTTTTTTTTTTTTTTTTTTTTTTTTTTTTTGAAAGTTATTGTGAACAAAACTATTTTGATAAACTTTATTAAATTTATTTGGAACAAATTACTGTGAACAAAATACAGAATAAAATTTGCAAAAAAAAAAAGAAGGAAAAGCAGAAATAAAGGTGTAAATTTTTTTGTAAATTATATATGAGATTTAATCAGAAAAGTTTTTTTGTTTGACAATATATTAAGAAGCAATTTTGTTTTGTATTTTCAAATAAAATCAACTGCTTCTGACTTGTCTTCTATTTTTGTTTGATAATTTATGATTAGTTGCATTAGTTTTCTTTTTTTTTCTCCGCTTTTTCCTTCACTTTTGATGATACACTTAAATTATTACTTCTTGAAAAATTAGTGCTAAAGTATAGACTTTAGAACGGACTAAAGTATTGAATAGAGAATCGCTGTAGAAATAATGATCAACAGCGACAACCGTCATCTATCCCAACGTATCAGTGTTAAATTACAGAACCTTTTTCAATTGCCATTTAAATTTGCGATAAACATATAACTGTTTTTTTTCTCTTTTATTTAAAAAAGAAAAGAAAACTTAAGTTTTTTTTTGTTTTTTACACTATAAACTGATATTAAGTATAAGGGAAATAATTACTGCAGGTGTTATTAGTTCTCAACAAATTCAAATAGAAATAGAACATAAAGTTTAAGCGCAGTTAAAATCTGTTACAACTTTTTATAGCTGCTATGTAATGACAATATTTTCAGCATTATTTTTTTGCTTCTGTTCAGGAAAGTGTTTTTAATTTTTTTTTTGTTTCATTAATACAACAATTTCTATATTCTATAAATCTATAAAATTATAAAATATTTTTTTTTTAACTACATGATTCGGTAAAGTTTGAATATAGTAATAATACGGGTGAAATAAAGAATTTTAGCTGAAGTAATTGAAGTTTTTCAAACGACAATCAATTAATAACATGAACACTGTAAAAACTTTCTATTTTTCTATTTAGTTTTTTTTTTTTGTGAAACTAATAACCCCGTATTCAAACATTTGAAGAAAAGACTGTTCTAAAATTTTTATTGAAGTGAATAAGCAGTAAATTAAGTGATAGGTGAATTTTTATAATACTAAAGATCAGTCAGTAACAAATGCTGAAATTACCAGTGAAACAGTGGGTGGTATTGCATAAAATTCAACTCACTAATATCCTTAACAAATTTATCGTATGAAAAAAAAACTATAAATAAACTTAAGCGAAAGAAACCTATCGAAGAAAACTATTGTAATTTTTGATCATTCAAATAGCGGCAAAATTTAAAGTTATAAAAGTTGTGAAAAAATTTTTTTTAAAAATTTATTCTTCTGTGTTAAAAAAAAAAAAATCTGTTTTTGTTTTTTTTTAAATAACAAAAGAAAAGCAATATTTTTTACCTTAGCTTTTTTCCGTTTAGTTTACTGTTCGGTGCACATAACAACAATTTTTTTCCTGTTATCATTTCAATAAACCACTAATGAATGTGTCAATAGGAATATTTTTGCATTGAATCAAAAACGAAAAATTAATTTTTATTTTTTTTTACAATTATTTTTGAAGCTAAAAAGTCAAATAATTTTATATGCAAAAAAAAAAATTCTTTTTTGTTTTTTTGCATTAAAATTGTTATCCAAAAAGGCAGTAAATGATAGAAAGATGTAAAAATATGAATAAAAGTCTTCAAAAAATCTAAAAAGTTTTTATTTTAAATTTAACATATCATACACCAACAATAGTACACTTTCAAAGTTTATCCTTTTTTTTTCCTGCTTGTGTCTGAAACACAACAGAAGGATATCAGTGACCAACAGATACATAAAGAAACAACGGCAAAGCACTAATACTATTTGGCATAAATAATACCTGCCTGTTTAAAAGTATATTTGTGTGATTAGTTACATTATTTGTAAAGCTAAACATATATCAACAAATTTGCAAAATAAATTAATTGTATTCACTGATTTTCACTTCTATATCACCTGAATTGATTGCCAACTTTTTTATCATAAAAACTCCTTGATTTGGAAATGACGAAACAGAGGCAGCATCAGTGGTTAACAAGTGACAGCTTAATTGTAGTAGCATCATAACAGATGACTAAACGTGAATGTACGTTAAAGGCGAGTAGTGGTACTAAAACTCAAGTTTTCAATGCCCAACCTGATTATTACACTGTAAAAAGAAAAATTACGACCTGTAAAGGTACTACAATAACAACTAAACATTTTTATAAAGACATTGAAAACCAAATAAATTGATGTATAAAAAGTGACAAAAACTAAAAGTAGTCAATCAGCAGCACTTCAAGATATGCTTATGCAGTCAACAACAAAAGAACTAATTTAACTTTCACAGAAATTTCACTAAATTTTCAACGTCCGATTTCAAGACTTATAAAAACTTGCATCAAAAAAGTAACAGACAAAATAGCTGCTGTTTTAAGGTAGGGTTACCTTAAAATCTCTCATGTTCTCCTGATTTTGACTGGTTTGAGAATCATACCCTGAAAAATCAACTTACCGTTAAGTACTTCTAGAATGCACTAATCAGCTGTCTTCTTTAACTGCAAAAATATGCCATCTGTACTATATTTCAAGCTGATCTTCTGAGATCAACTGCTCAAAGGCTTTAGTTTTCGAGCTCGAACTAAAATTAAGGAGAGTATTGAGCTGCAAGTTTACCGCATACAATCATTTACTAATAGAGACGTTTTGAGAAAACAGTTACTATAATTAGCTACAATTATTGTGATATAAAATTTTGGTAGAACTAACGTCTCTGTCGAGGTGTAGGAGCTTCGAAACTGCCATCATTGTACTTTAAAAAATTTTTTTCGGATTGGTCTACCTCACTATGAGGTAATCTGGGAACTATACTACTACTGTCTGTAAATTCACTGATGTCATAAAAGTCTTTCTTCTTTCTAAACAACTTTTCAATTTTGAATTTTTTTGAAAGGTTGCTGCTAAACCATTTTAAGTAATAAAAAATATTTAAAAAATTATACACTGATAAGGATAGACATAAGAAGAAGACGGTTTAGAAAATGATGGTAAGTTGAGTCCAAAATCGGTTAGACGAATTTTCACTAATCCATCACCGATGTTGATACGTTGTCCAACGTCAACTGCTGCTCCAGTTTCATCAAATTCTGTCACAGCCCCTCTGTAAACCAGATAAGTAAAAAAAAATTATTGCTGTTCAAATTCAAAGCAGCTACTAAGTCAAAAATTAATCTTTAATCTTACGTTCAAAAGTTGCAAAAACAAACTGGTTAAAACTTTTGCAGTAAAAATTTAAAAAGGCAAATAATGACTCAAGACATCTGCACATGAAAGTAACATTTTTACGTTATAAAAAAGACCTGTGATAAGTACGTTGCTACCTTGTGAAAAAGTAATCTATGCGATGGTTACTTTATCACAAGGTAGCAACGTACATCTCTAATTCATCAAAATCGCTAAATTCTTTTTTAGCCTCTCATGCGTATTAACCGCTTATTCCTAACTCACACTTTTCTCGCTTCCACTAATTTTCCAGACAACAAATAATGGTATTTGATACACGTTGGCAATAAGTCACAATTAAT